GACAGGTCTTAAATGAGGGTGGCCCTAGAAAACACGGGACATCTGAGATGGGCAAATATCGAATAATCACAAGTTGTCCAAAAGAAAAAAAATGGGTTTGTAGATTCTTATGAAAAGGCAGGAAAGCAGCCTGAGGTGTGATCGCGCCGCAGCAGAGGAGCTGCCGGGAGAGAGAAGTCTGGCTCTGCACAATTCATGTTCCTAAACAACAGCGTTGGGGAGGTCGGTGACATGGGGGAGGTATGGCTAATAATAACAAATACCGCTGGAGTTATACCTTACATAGATAAAACTGCTGCTGGAACCGGCTTTCTGAGAGCCCAGCGAAAAGCTTTTGTTTAATTTATGGGGCTCAGGCTATATTTAGCTGGCAGATCCTTGGGGTTTTATCTGGGATCACTCCTCCGAGGCAGCAGCTGGAACATTTTAATTGTTTTGCTCTGGGTTTGGGTTGTTTGTTTTTTTTCCAAAGGGAGAAAAAGAAAAGCAGGTGCCAGGGTCTGACCCCACTGGCCTCCCAACACCCTTGGCAGTACCTCCCGGGACGGGGAGGGCAAATGGGCCTCAGAGCGGCTCTCGGCCTTCCTGGGAGAATTTCTGGGGTGGTGCTGGGGGGGGTTCAGAGGGAGAGCCCTTCTCCTCCAGCCAGGCCGGCTGGTGGGGGCTGTACCCACCGGGACCTGCTGTCCATCCCCAGCCCCCGCCTAAGGGCAGCAATCAGCAGGCGAGAGCACGGAGGGGGAGACTTCACCCCCAGCTGGAGGCGTGCTATATCTCCCCATCCTCTGGTTGCTACAGCTATTTAATAATAGCCTGGGCGGTCCAGCCCAGCATCCCCTTCTTCCAGGAAAGCGAGAAGCGCTGCTCCAGGCCCGGAACGTGCTTGCGTTTGGTGGGAGTTTTATTTGTTAGGAAAGCCCTTTGGTATCTGCCTGGAGCGTGAATGTGAGAGGAGCCATCTGCTCGGGGACAGGGAGTGTTTACACCTCCATGCCAGCCCGGGCACAGACAGGCTCTCCAGACACTTCATCCCCAGCTCCCATCGTGCCGCTGGCACCTCTGCTCCACTCGGCCCCAGTTTTTGTTTAGGAAAACACCCACTCTGCCATGCCAGGATCTCCCACGGCAGCTCGGAAATCCTCCCCGGCCGCTGGCTGACAAGAGCCGTAGGCAGTGGGGTGGCACTGGGGACAGCCACGTGCCGGGGGGAACAGGGGTCCGCCAGGGCATCCCTGCCATGCTGGACACCAGGCATGCCAGCAGCCCCTCTTCGGAGATGTGCCCCGATGCTGAGCACAGTGCAGTCAGACGGGCAGGGGGCTGGAGGGGTCGAGGGGCTGGGGCCCATGGCAGAGCCACCGCCTTTGCAGGCAGCCCCGGTCTGGGGGACGCTGCAGCATAGTGGGGGGTTTCAGGGGTTCCTGCTTCACCGCTGATGCTGGGGACTGCGGGCCAGCACTTCTCCCCTGGCTCAAGTGTAGGTGTTGGCGCGTTGATGAGACAGAAAGGAAGCAATTAAAAGGAAAATGAAGCACCTCGGCCACGCACGTGCTCCCAGGAGAAGCTGGCTCAGGCTCAGCTGTCTTTCACCCAGCACTGAGGGTGCCTCAGGACTGCCCCTACCTGCACTGACCAGTGGGGACATGGGGTTGGGACTAAAGGGAAAACTTTGAAGAAGCACGAGAAAAAGTGACTGTTTTCAATCTCTTTTTTTTCCCCCCTCATTTTTTTTCTTTTCCTCCCTACAGAGCAAATCTTTTTCATTTGGACCCCGCTGACACAAACAAGCCCAGGTTTTGCACTGAAACACTGGCAATCACCTCTTTCCGTCACTGGCCGGCATGGCGAGCTAATTTTATTCTCCCCGGCACCCCCCCATCTCCTGGAGATTGTCCTGTTGCAGCCAGGGAGTGCTAGAAAATAGCACATCGCCCACTCATCCAGCCTCCTTCAAGGGAAATATTTATATTATGCCAAAGAGAGGGTTTCCATGGCAGTGATGACTTTAGCACTGTCGCCTTGGAAACCACTTGAGGCCATCTTGAAGGGTTTGAAATTACCCTTCAGAGACAAATAAGGAGAGGGACCAGAAAGGCCGGTGGGATTAAAGCAGCGTTTTGGTCTCCCCTGGCTTGCCCGTTGGCACGTTGCCCGCTCTCGGTGCCCGGGTGCCCACCCACGGGTGCTCACTCTGGGTCCCTGCCCATGCCACCGGGATGCTCCGTAGCCCAAGTGTTGCTTTGTGAATGAACCTGGAGAAGAGCCGAACGAGGCACTTTGCAAACAGAAATGGTTTGGTAGATGCTTCCTCCTGCTGCCCAAGCCAGCCGGCAGTGGCTCTGGTCTCAGGGCATTGCTCAGCAATCGTGAAAAAGCTGCCTCCAGCCCCCCCAGAGGTGGCTTCAGGGAGACTTCCCTGAGCCTGCTAATGCCGGAGTGATGCCAGTGCCTGCCCAGCCTCAACCAACAGCTGCTTTCAGAGGAACAAACCCCCAGGTCTCATGACTTTTCAACAGCCCCTGAGTCCCCACTAGATGAAAAAAGCCCTGTTTTTCTCCCGAGGAGCTGCCAAAATCTGAACCACCTGCAAGAGGCGACTGCTGGCGTCAGAGCGCTCGCCTGCGGTGGCAAAATGGAGAGGCCTGTTCCCTCCTACGCGTCATGCCTCTCCCGTGGCTCAGCCCCCACATCCCAAGGTTCAGCCAACTTAACGTTATCGGCTGTTTAGTCTCCCAGCCCGCAGGAGCTTTGTCACCAGCAGCCAGCCCATCTGGCTCTCAAGGACACCAGGAACATGGCAGGGAGAGCAAAGCTTTCAGAGCAGAGCACGATGAAGCTGATGGTGGCAGGGGTGGCCAGCAATGCTGCCTGCTCAAGCTATGGGATCACTTTCTTCAGGTTTCGTTCTCTGTTTTGCTGAAAAATACTAGTCGTCGTCTTTATTTATTTTAGGGCAATCCAAAATACATTTTCTTCCTTCTCCCTGAGCTGCCTCCACGCTGAGGAGTCAGTTATTCTCCAAGCCAGAGCTCTGCCCTCAGCACCCACACTCAGCTCTGCAGTGCATCTCCGGCGCTGCCTCCTGCTTCCCACCCACGGGCTCCTTCACACCGCCCCACGCCCGCCCCACAGCCAAAAACAGTCAGCCATGAGCAGCTCGGCCAGCTTTCCCACAGAGAAACAGACGGGCGGTGCTTAGTCCCTCCATGGGATCCTGAGGGTGCTCCTGGCCACAGTGCTGGCGCGGGGGTAGCTTGTGTCTCCCCATCCCACTGCCTGTGCCAGGCTTCCTGCTCCTGCCTGCACCTTGAGGGGGGCAAGGTGCATTTGGGGGCACGATTAGGGATAGGCTGATGGTGTCAGGGTGTGATGCCCTCTGGGGATTTGCAGCCATGTGTCTGCCTGAAAAAGCTTGGTCTTGTTCTGAATGAGCGTGCCTTTACACTGGAGCCCAATGCCCACCCAACTTCAAGGGACGGTGGCTTCAGCCATCACTGTGGAGCAGGGGAGCAGCGGCTGGTGGGTATACAGCACCCTGCGGCACCCACGGGGACCCGGGTGCAGAGTTGCAAGCCGGGATGGGTGCACTCCTAGGAACAGCAGTTCTGCCCTGCTGCTGCCAAGAAGCCCATGTGCATGTAGTGATACTCTTACCCCGTTGCCAAGGGATCTGGGGTAACACCAGGTCCCAGAGCAGCCCCACGCAGGCAGCATCACAACCCTCCTCGAACTGACAGTCGGAAACCCATTTCTTTCTGGCTGTCTGCATCGCTGGGCATGAATCAAGCGGTGTGGAGCTCTGGCTCCAGCACAGGAAAGCACTCAGCTGTATTCTTGACCTACACCATGTGAAAATCCCTGTTTATATCGATGCAGCTTCTCACAGCTTTAATGTTGAACATGTGGGCTTAAGGCCAGCAGGCTTCTTGCCTTGCCCAGGTGGGAGACCACAACACCCTGGGCACCATGAACATTCACACCTGGCCCGTGCCGACCAAGGAGAGAGGCTGGGATGCAAAGCATAGAATTACAAGGGTAAATACTTATTCATGGGCATGAGATGTCCCAGCCAAATCAGGGCACCCGAATGTGGTTTTACACGGGGTTCTTATAGCCTTCAAATGGTCAGATACAACAGGACTTGACTAATCACTAACAGCCACGCTATCAATTGCTAATCACGGTCAAACTTTGCGAAGCCACTCGATTTCTGCAGCATTCTTGCCGCTTTTCTATTGACCCCGGCATCCCTGGAGTCGGTCTTGCTCAAGTTACCGATCTGTGACGCCAGACGATGCTGGGAGGGTTTCAAAGACGTGTCAGAAGGGCTGGGACGCTGGCGTTATTGTGGTTGACCGGGGTACCCATTATCCTTCAGGGACAGCTCTGAGCTTCCACAAAGCGAAGTCCTTCTTTCCAGGGCCGGGCTGTCCTTTATTTGTTTTACTTCAGCATGAACAATACCAGAGTCTCCAGGAAAATTCCACTACCTCGTCACATCGCATATGAACTAATAAATTTGTTAACAAAGTTAAGGCACTTCCATGCTATAAAGACTGCTGTAACAGTGAGGGAAGGGGCTCCGGGGGGTCGGTTGGCGCAGGGGGCAGGGGGTCTCCGTTTCGGGCTGGCATTACCTAAACCCGGCGGGTTTAGGGGGAGGGCAGGTGCCTCCGCAGCCTCCCTCCCGCGGGGGTCTGGCCCCCTCCTGCGGCCGGGCCCGGGGCTGCGGTGTCCGTCCGTCCGCCCCCCCGGCCCCGGCGGGCACCGGCAGCTCCGGGAGGTGTGGAACCGGGCGGGACCCCCCTCTAGCCCCCGCCCCCCGGCCCTCCTCTGCCCTACGGCTTTTCCTTCTCCTGCAGCCGGTGCTCGCTCTCCTCCGGCTCCGTACGCTCCGGTCCCCTCCCCCACCGGTAGCCGCCGACGGAGGGGCCACCCCCGGCCCGCCTCCGCCGCTCGGCCCTACATAGGCGGCGGCGGCCGGCCTGCCCGGCTCCGCCATGGCCCCGCTGCTCCGGCTCGGCGCCGCCCTGACCCAGGCCCTGCTCCTGGCCCAGGCCCTGCTGCCCGCCGCCGCTCAGGACGTGCCGGGAGGTAAGCGGGGTCCCGGCGGGGGGGTGCCCCGGTGTCCGGTCCCCTGACGCCCTCCCCCGCCGGGAGCCGGGGCGGGGGGCTCTGAGCCCTGCGGTCCCGGCCCTGTCGGGTGTTCCCCTCCCAGCGCCGGAGGGGATGGGGAGCGGATCCTGGCAGCAAGCGCTCCTCGCAGAGCACCCAAAACTCATGGTTTTGCCGTTACTTTGGACCCCGCTTTTGCGGGACGGCTGGTGGGCGAAGCGGGCTGGCACCCCGTGGGCTGCGCTCCAGGCGTGCGCTGGTTGGGTGCGGCGTGGCCACTGGTCAGGGTCCTGTGGCCACTCAGGATGGGGATGGGCAGTGGGAGCCGGGAAAGCAGGTCCCGTCCTCGGTGGGAGCTCCGCAGGGTGCGATCCTGCACAGCATGGGGCACTGGTGCCTCCCTCTGGGGTCTGGAAGGTGGGCTGCTGGAAGAAAGGCTTTACTTGCCACTTTTTCAGCTGCCACCACAATGTAACTGTGTGTTTGGTGATGTGAACGGCTTGGCCGGGTCTCAGGCGGGAGTTGAGTACCAGTCCTGGCTAGGGGGGACTCACTGGGCGACTGATGGCCCTTTGGAGGAGGAGATCCTCCTTCAGGACAGGGGAGACGGGCTGGGGGACCCTCAGGCTGAAAGCTTCACACCAGGAAGAAGATGGGTGCTGTCAGATCCGGGTGAGGGTGAGGAGCAGCGAGTGGCCGGCTGCTTCTCCTTGGTGGGTGGAGAACAGAGCATAGCCCTGTGGGTGCTGTGCCAGGTGGAGAAGAAGCTCTAGCAAAGGGTGGGGACAGCCACCTTCAGGGGTGTCCCGAGAAGTCTGCCTGCTCTTCGGAGTGAGCAACTGTCCTCCACGTAATGACTAGCCCTCTGACGGCTGCATGGTGGCTCCAGTTGGGAGGAGAGTGAGGACCAGCATCTGTTTTGCTGTCTTCCTTCCCCCCTGAAGCCATTCACTTCACTTCTCTTTTAGCCAAGTGGCAAAACCGTTGTTCAGGAGGCTTCTGACATAGCGAGAGCTGCTCTGCCACCTCTGTGCCTGAGGACTGTGGTGCCTCCTGTGCTGTCCCATGCAAGTGGGCTTGTCCCATGAGATGGAACTTTCAGACAAAACCCCAATCCTGAAGGGCTGCAAATGTCCTGGAAATGGCCCATTCCCATACAGCTGTAAGAGGGTTGCTTTGACTTAACAGCTAAGAGGATGAACCCCAGCTGGGGGTGCCAGGAGAGGGGACACCCCTGGGAAAGCAGAGCATCAGTAGGAAGCCCAGTTAAAACCGCAGGCTCTCCTTTTGCCCACCGATGGCCTCCTGTGGTGCGAGAGGGCTGTTGCGTGACTCCTTGTAAGCAAACAGTCTCTGGGCAGCACAGATGCTGTGATGCTTTTCCGGCCTCGGTTGGAGAAACGGGGAAGACTCAGCTTCCTAAAGTGTTTAAAATCTGCAATCTCAGCCTCTCCTGGTGGTGTGTAAACACTCTTATCTGAGCTATGTTAATAAATCGCCCAGTTGTTTGGAGGTCTGCGCAGAGCATGTGACTGTTGACAGTGGGTCACAGCTGAGGGTTCCTGCCAGCTGGAGAGAGAAAATGCAGTTTTGCCGCTTGTGAGCTTGGAAAATGAGCACCTCTGGGACTGATTTTTTTTCCTGATTAAGGTGCTGTGAAGCAGTGATCCTTCTGCCACCAGTTACTGAGTAGTCAGGCAAATTGGTTTGTGGTTTGGTTTTTTTTGTTGTTGTTTTTTTTTTTTTAAAGCCACAGTCAAACAGGCTGATGCTTAAACTCTTTAGGCAGGGGTGAGGTTTAAATGGCTGATCCTCAAGGGCTGGCAAACCATCCTTCCTGAGGACCTGGGGGAGCATACCAGTGAAATGGCAGGCAAGTATCCTGTAGAAAGACTTTCCTGAAGAGCCAGCATTGCTGGGAGCGGCAGACAAGCCCAGAAAGGTGGCTGGACTGGGCCACCTTGTCCTGTGTTCAGACCTGATCCATTCCTCCCCACCCAGCTGAGCTCCATCCCCTGGGGTTGTTGTCATCCATGGTGACACTGGTGCTGAGAGCCAGCTGTGTCTATAGACCAGGGGTCTTCCTCTGACAAACGGAGGTGGAAACAGGTTCTGAACATGGGCACAGATTTTGGCTGCGGTGCCGCTCCTGTCACCTGGAGCGTTTCCTACTGAAGGAGAGTTTGGATGAATTGGCTGGGGCAGGGTACAGTCTTCATGTGCAGTGGGAGGGTACAGGCTCCCACAGGGACTGTAGCTGCATGTCCCCCCTTGTGCTCCTCTGTTTCTGCTTTTCCTGGTAGTAACTTCCTTGTCTGGGGCTTGTTTGCTTGAGCTGCTCCATCATCCGGTGATATGGGACTGCACCACCTGCCCAATGCTTGTCCTTGTCCCCGCGGGGTCCCCTGTCCTGCTGCCTGCTGGCCACAGCACATGCTCAGGCTTTTAGGGAAATAAGACCCAGGGAGAGGAACTCACAGCTTGGGGCTTTGGGTCAGCGTGGGCAATGCAGATGACTTCCCTTTGCATTTGGGCTTCCCACCATGACACTGTGTTTTGCAGCTGGTAGCTCTTGCAGCAGCATTAAGCTGCATTGCTGCTGGTCCAACAGGAGTGACTGCCTCCTGGAGCGAGCAAAGCAGTGGGCAGGAGCAGGCTCCAAGGCACCCAGAGTTTTAAACCACTGAGAATCTCTTCAAAGTATTGAGGTGTCTTTTTTTCCTTCCTGTAGATTGTCACCAGTATACAAACAGGAGCTGTGAGGAGTGTCTGAAAAATGTCACCGTAAGTAGCAGCAGGAAAACTCCCAACCTCTTGTGATGCCTGAAAACGTTGCGTGGGCTTTGTGGGGCTGTTACAGAGCAGTTTCCCTCCTGGAAGGGGGGCTGCTCCCCTGTTCTTGTCCTGAGCGTGCTGCAAATGCCGCCCACCCATGACGGTGAGAGGGCAAACACCCCTTGGTGCTCTGGGAAGAGGTTGCTAGAAACTGCTTGGGTTTTGTTGTATGCTTTTCCAGTCGAAATGGAATTGCTGAGCTCCTCCTCGCAAATGGGAGACGCTGTCAGGGGGATGCACATGGTGAAGGAGTGGGCTGGACTGGCTGGTCCAGCTGCCCCTCCACCAGTCTGTGTGTACCGCGGCACTGGGTGGATGTGGGATGCGTACCTGTGTCCTGCCAACCTCTGCTGCCTTATCTCTGGTATCAGCAAACTTGAACTTGAGTCAGATCTCACAGCTGATGTAGCCGGAACCAGTTTGACCAAACCCAACCGAATGCTGGTATTGGGGGTTGAAGCTGCCAGGAGAGGAGGGTGCAAAGCCGCTGCAAGTAGTCTGGTTGTGGAAGACCAGTAAGGGCACACACAAACCTCTCCTGCTCATCAGTTCTGTGTTGATTGGCTTGCCTCAAAGGCTTTTTTCTTGTCCCAAAAATGTTGCACAGAATAAACACAAAGGATTTGGTGATTACTACCACCATGCAAGCCAGGAGAAGGGTTCTCAGCCTTTACTTGCTCTAGAAATCTGCGCTCCCCTCGCCTGCCTCTCCTGCTGCAAGCAAGCCTGATGCAGTCCATGCTGATCAAACACAACTCTTACTCCTGAGCGTCCTGTTGCTGCTGGGTGGTACCTGGCTCTTGGGAGCAGGAGGTGGTACCCCTATTGCTGTGGCTAACAAAGCGGAGTGTGGCTAACTGGCAGTACTGCCACACACCAGTAACTCTGTGCTGCTTGGTTCCTGTGTCCCAGTGCCTGTGGTGTGCCAGCAGCGGGAGGTGCATGGAGTACCCCATCCGGAGAGTCCTCCCCCCAGCTGACCTCTGTGAGCTCCGCTCTGCACGTTGGGGAGTCTGCTGGGGTAAGTGGATCGCACTTGAGCGATGACTGCCTTTAGTGCTTGCTGCTAAACAGCACTGACTACCGCTTGTGCTAGTGGTAATGGGAGGTTTCCCTTGCCTCCCTTTCTCACTGCTGGCGTAGCAATGACAGGCTGAAGTCAATCAGGGTTCTGCAAACTTCCCACAGAGTGGGTGAGAAAGCAGAGTGTGAGCAGTCCCTGCCTTCTGGCAAGAAGGACCTGCGGGGCTTTAGTTACTCTAAATACGTTCCTCGTGTTTTGGTGTGATGGAGGCTTCCAAACGTGGCTAGCACCTAGGAACAAGAGTCGAAGGCGCTCTGCAGGCAGCTGCCCGTGCAACCCTTCACCAACCCTTTGATGTGCAAAGCGTGCACACCAATGTCTGACTCTTTGGCAGCTCTCTCCTCTGCACCCCATGCGTTGTTCCTTGCACTGCTTTTGGCTCTTCACATTTAGCGGTGTGGCTGCTGTCCTAGGCGGGCTCTTAAAACTCATGGGATCTCTTGGAACCAGAAGCGAGGTGACTTCTCTAGAGACCTGCATGGGCTTCTAGTGCTGAGCGTGCCGCGGTCCTGCTCAGCTCTTACCCACCTGAGAAAATACCCTCTTCCAAAACTAGCCCTGCATAAGCTGTGCTGCAGCTGGCTGCCTGCCACCAGGTCACCTCTGGGAGCTTTTTCTGACTGCCAGCTGACTGTTGGCTGCCTTTCCTCCTTGGTGCTCTGTTTCCTGGTGGGTTTCTTGTGAAATTAGTGTCTTGTTTAGACCAAGCTTGGTGCATGCTCCTGCTTGGAGCTTTTGGGCACTGGGCCAGCTAGGAAGCAAGCTGGGGCTTGTTTTCTCTTGCCTCTCCCCTTGATGGGAAGCTTGGATTTGAATTGTGGTCGCCTGTCATCTATTGTGCTTGAGGCTGATCTCTCTTCTGTACCTACGAGGGGGCTAAAACCGCTCCCATGCATTGTGGAGGAAGAATCTCCTCTTTGTGAGCAGTATGTTATGCTTTTCTGAACCTTGTGTAAGACCTTGAAATAACTAGTTTTTATGTGAGTAGCTTCACAAAATGTTTCATTATAAAAGAATGCATTCCTTTGCTTGTAAAACTTGCTTTAGAGGAGATTAGTCCTGTGGGAGATTAGCTTTTAAGTGAGTCTGCATTTTTGGTGTGTGACTTAAGCCTTTACCATCAGGTGGAGAAGTGCCTGGTGCTCTGCCATGGACCTCTCTCTGTGGGAAGGGGTGATCTGAACCCCGGCTCACCCTGAAAGCCAAGGTTTCAGAAGCACCAATACAGACATGTGCTGGTGGAGAAACTCCCTTTTGAGCTAAAGAGCCTGTTTGGGTTTGTCTCTCCCCCACAGGGCTGACTTCTGATCCTTGGCTTTTTGGCTCTCCCCTACATGACTCCGTGGGTCTGTTGCAGCGCAGCCAGCAAAACCTTCACATTGCTCTGAGGCAAGATAGTGCCATGGACAGTCAGGTCTCAAATGCCATCTTTCTCAAAGCCTTACTGGGAAAATAGACCTACAGACCTCCCTGCTGCTGGGTGACTGCTGGAGAGGCTGTGTGTGCCCATCTGTGGTGACAAACACAAGTGTCTGCAAGCTGGTGGCTTGCTGACTTCTGGTCTCACTGATGACCTGCTAGGCCATGGCAGCTCTCTGCGGTTGGTATCTGGAACCACATTCCTCGCGTGGTGCTTGCCACTCTAGCCTGGGTAGGGACGCAGTATGATTTGAGAGTCAGATGGCACAGTTGTTGGCAGTGACGAAGCTCTCCACTGGGAGCAGGAGCTGAAGGCTTTGAAAGCAAGTTCAGTGGTGAGTCAGCTCAGCCTGGAGCACCTCAATAAGCCTGCTACTGCTGAGCCCCTGCAGTGAGGGGACAGGCAGGCATCTTCTGAAATGCCCTGAAATGCACCATGTGCAGTGCTCAGGCTTGCCACTGGGCTCACGGTCTGAGCTGTGTGGTGAAGAGGGGATCAGAAGTGCTCTAAGCAGGCTCAGGCACACTAGGGTTTCTGTAACTTGGCTGCTGTGTGTGAAGTGGCTCCTAAACAAATACTTCCACAGGCCCATGCCTCTGAACAGTCTGAATCATACTTGGAAGACACCCCTCTTTGTTGCAAAGGATTTCAGGTGATGTCTAGATATGTCTGTTTTGGCTGGTGTCTCTACTGCTATTGCTGCAGGAGCTGAGCAGGATGACTGCCTCTCTAGGGCCAGGGCTCAAGGCTGCTGCTTCACCACCACATCCCAGCAGGTTCTGTGCTGTGCATGGGTGAGCAGAACCCCCAAGCCCTGGGGAGACGTGGTGGTGGGGTGCATTGAAGCAGCCCTCTGCCTTCAGCTGTTGGCCCCAAGCTGATAAATCCCAACAGATCTTGTCTCACTTTGTCTCTTTCCCAAGGACTCCAGACACCCATAAGTGCCTCCAGTCCACTGTCATCTCATCTTAGATGACTTCTGAGGCTGGCTTCTATGGGCAGTAATTCCAGTGCCAGCTGTGGCCTCTCTGTCAGGGGTTGCTCCTCAGCACTGAAGCCTCCAGTTTTTTTTTCCTTGATGGGTTACTGTTCACCTGGATTAGTGATTAAGACAGCTTTGCTCCTGTTTCTGCCAGAGGAGTTTGACCTGAGTGTGTTTTGTTCTTGCCTTTCTTCATGGCCAGTAACTGAGGGCTATAGTTAGCAGCTACATATACTCTGTTGGTGTGTACATGCTGGTGCCAATGCTTGGTATACCTATAGATAACTATGTCCACCTTGCTTTCCCGGGCTGTTATGCCTGTCTCCAGCCCAGTGACTGAAGCTGCTGGTGACAGTAGCCGTATGCTTGTAAATATTGTAATTCCAGGCAGCCATGTACTTGTGTGCTAAATGTGTTTTGTCAAATCCTTTAGTGAACTTTGAAGCCCTGATCATTGCAATGTCTGTGGTGGGAGGAGTGATCCTTATCATGTTGGGGGTCTGCTGCTGCTGCTGCTGCCGTTGTAAGAAAAAGAGCAAAAAGCAAGTATTGGAGGGGTTCCCTGTTTTCTCAGAGTAACTCAGATGCAACGATGTGTAGTTGCAGAACTGAGTGCCAAGTGCTGCTAACGGGCTTTTCTGTCTGTCAGGCTAGACAAGGATGACGAGAGAGCGGCCAGGGAGCGGGAGAAGAGGCGGGTGCGGCAGGAGGAGAGGTGAGGTTGCCCCACAGCCCCCGCTTCCCTGTGAGAGAGCCACACTGCCTCAGGCTGCAGAACGTTTGGCTCCTGCCTGTACTGTCAAACGTGATGCCGGGGGTGTGTGGGGCTCAACATATGCAGTCACTGGCTGCTTCAAACCTAGTTCAAATGTAAACCTCACAAGCAATGTCTTTCTGGGGTGACTCATGGATGCAGCATCACAACAGGGTTGTGTGTCCAAATTCCCAAGGGCTGCTGATGTGTGCGGGCTCTGGTGGTCCCCAGAGTCTCCAGGAGGTGGGTGGTGGGGGGCTGAGCAAACCTGGCAGCCTGGAGCTCCCAAAGCTGGGAAACAAACAAGGAGCTCCTCTTGCTTCGTTTTTATTTCCAGTCACTGACTTGTGGCTTTTCTGTTTTTGCTTCTTGCAGAAGAGCAGAGATGAAATCACGGCATGATGAAATCCGAAGAAAATATGGTACAGTGATGTGAGACACTCAAACTAAGCTTTAGATCAAGCAGCCTCGGTAACTCTGCTCCTTGCTGTGGTTACAGCTGCAGAGGAGACCTGGCCAGCAGGGAAAACATAGTCTCTGCTTCTCCTGTCTCAATGAATTGCTCTCTTGCCCTCTGGGAGCAAGCGGAGAGATGCTTGGATCATGGTGTGTGACTCCACACAAGTGCCGCTTCTCTTGGGCAGGGATGAGGGAGTGTTTAACACTCCCTGGGACCTGTGTCCTCCAAACTCACCACGTGGGAGAAGCTGCTGGGGCTTGACTGGAGGGGAGAAGCAGAAGGTGGTAGACACAGCACCACCCGTAATGCTGCTGCCCTTCAGGCACAGCCCTCTGGCAGCAGCCCTTTGGTCAGTGAGTGGGTGGGGGGCCAGGCAGAAGCCCAGGTGCCCACAGCTGCAGGAGCACAGAGCAGGCACCAGCCTGACTGCAGAGCTGGTCCTCTGTACCGGCAGCGGTTCCCTAGGAAGTGGCTTAGTCCCCTGGTGCTGGGAGTGCACAGCCTCCCTCCTGGGGCTGGCTGGGTTGTCCTTCAGATGAGTCCCATGGCCCTAGGGCAGGTGGGGACCTGCCTGAGGGGGACAGCAGCCTGGAAGGAAGCGGGGAGCAGCCAGCCACTCAGGGCTGGTGGAGGGGTCTCTCCTGCCTGCCCGTTGGGGCTGCTGGGGGCTCTTGCAGGGTGGCCGTGGAGCAGGGAGCAGTTGGGCTCATGCACACTAAGTGGGGTGGTCTCTGGCTTTGGGGGTGCTGTGGGGAAAGCTGGAGACCCTTCCTCTGCCTGCAGCTGCTGCCCGCTGCAGGTCCAGGTTGGGCAGGAGATCCAGGGGCCTCTGGCTGGGCTGGCTTCTCTAGGGGAGGAAGAGCAGGCAAGGTTGTGCCTGAAGGAGGTCTTGGTGGGTGAAGCACCTGATTGTGGAAGAGCTGTGTGTGCTCCAGGACCATCTTGCCATGCCAGGGCTCTGTCTTGCTGCAGCCTGACTGCAGAGTTTGCGATCTTGTCCTTTCTGGCTGTTCCTCCTCAAAAGTGTTGGGCTAGGGCTGGGAAAGCAGCCAACAGAGTGGCATGGGGGCTTGTCACCATCCCAGGAGTCAGCCCCATACCCTGCCTTGCTGTCTCCCAGTTTGTGGATGTAGGAGCAGGGGAGCAAGTCTAAGAACAGTTTTAATTTAATTTGGGTCTGGGCTCTCTGCTTCCAAGTCCAGTCCAACAGAAGGAGTGTGCAGAAGGGGTGCTCTGGAAAATCAGTTGTGCTGCTTTACCTGGACTTTATATGGACTGCCTGGGAGAGGAGTTTGCTATCAGATTGATCTTCTTAATGGATCTCTCCTCTTGTGTAGAGGAGGAGAGTGAAATAGTGCTGACTTCATGCACAGCTCAAGTAAGAGCAGGTCTTTCAGACAGACTGCAGGACAGGAGGCTGGATGAAGCACAAATGACAAGAGTTGTTACCAAGAAATAGGTTTCTTGCTGGCTGTGACTGGCATGGCAGCTGCTGTCTGAATGAATCTCTCTTCTCTTCTAGGCCTGTTCAAGGAAGAGAACCCTTATGCAAAATTTGAGAATTAGCATCTCTGGACCTGCCCACCCTGGTGAATGGTCCCTTACTGCAAAGCTGCAGGACTCCATGCTTCCCGTGCCATAAGGAGACCACCATGGTGCCACTTCCCACTTCAGCTGCCACAGAAGATGAGCCAAATGCTTGGTGACACCATCATCCCCGCTCCAGATGCTTGGTGTGCTCCAGAGCTTTGCTCTTGCTCTGCTGGTGCAGGAAAACATGGTGGCAATACCGGAGGATGACACATTTCTTCTCACTCACCCCTGGGGTGGTAACAGAGTCCGAAGCAATGCAAATAACAGTCCTTGTGTCTGGCCAAGGGCAAAAACAACCTTATGCATCTTTCTTGCTCCTGCGTCACCAAATACCCTTCACACACACAGAGCCAGGCTCTTCTGTCCCGTCCTGTCCCCCCCTTTTCTTTTTCTCTTTTTTGTTTTAGTACAGACAAGCCAGCAAGAGTTTCTTGACTCACTGGTCAGCAGGAAGCCTTGGCTGTTACTCCAGGTGCCTGTACTTGTCCCAGCATACTAGCATTCCTTTCAAAAAGCACAAGTTTCTGGCTATCTTGGGTCTCCAGGAGGAAGGTCCCATGTGCATGTTCTCACTTGCAACTAATCTGGGGAAATGCCCCAACTCTCCTACCTCTCTGTGCCTTTCTAAAAGGGTGGTCTCCTGGGCTTGATGGCCATGGCTGATAGCAATACGTAGGATTCAGATGCATTTACAATGTGTTGACTATATATTAAACTGATTGGATTACTATCCTAGTCTGAAACAGTTTAATTCTGCTTCCACACCAGGTATGGGTTGGCAGCGATGGCTGATGGAGTTGTCACTGTTACGTGGCCCCAGCTTGTCAGGCCCTGATGGGGTAGCTGTGGGAGGCAGAAGCAAGGCCTCCTTGAACTCTTGCTGGGCTTGAAAGGAGGAGTCTGTTCATGGAGATGGTCAGTTGTTAGGAAAAACTGGGTGTTGGGAGTAAGGCTGCTCTCTAAGAAAGGAGCTGGGTCTTTCTGCAAGAGCTTGGCCTGTGTCTCCTAGCACCCCTGAAAGCCCTTGTCTGAGCAGGGTGGCCTGGAGGCTCCAGGCAGCATTTGGCACAGACTAAACCCCGTCCTGTGCTACCTGCGTAAGGGGCCCAGGGGTGGGGAAAGGAGGATGGGAGCTGACTGCTCTTATGTGGTCCTATACTTGACCAAAATTGGCTTTGTAGTGTGAAGGAGCCTCGCATGCAAGCAATACGTCTACTCTGATAGTTTTGTCTAAGAAAAGCTGACTTGCCTTCTGCCAGGTGGGGTGACTCGCTCTGGACTGCAGATGATAGCGTTTCTGTGGGCTTGCATAAACTTCTCCATTTGCATTGCCAGGCTTATGGCCCTTGGACACAAACTGCTCGAGCTGAACTTCTGAAGCTAAACCAGCTGTGAAACCTTGCTGCTGCTGCCTGAGCTGTGTGCTGGCTGCCAGAACCTGGCTGGCTTTTGCCAGGATGGTCAGTGATGCAAGACTTGCAGGTGACTTTTAATCTAGGCTGTCTCTGGCTGCTGCCAGAAGATGCTTGGCTTCAGGCGGTAGGAACAAAGTGAATGACTCTGCCAATGCTGAATAAGCACCTGGTCTGTAACCTGGCTCCTGTTAAGTGTGAACTAGGCTGCAGTGCTGGGAGGAGGGCTGAAAGAGTAGGGTTGGGTTGCCAAGCTCTCATGGGTGCTCTCCCATGAGCTGTCCTAGTCTGTTGGACTGGCTGGGCAGGGGCTGTATCCTGGTGCTGCCAGTCAAGAGCTGTGGGAGATGGTGATAGCATCTTACCCAGCTGTGCGTGGCTGGGAGATGATGCTTTAAAGAAATCCCCAATGCCCTGCATTTGGTTTGGAGCTCCTTGTGCAAACTGCCCTGTGCGCAGGGAAAACAAAGCACGGAGCCCTGTAAGGACAAGTGAAAATGTTGATAAAGATCGTGGTTGTGCCCTGTGCTTTACTGGGTACACTGGCCTGGAGGGGCTGTGGTCCCCCTGCAAGCCAAAGATATGGGGGACCCTGTGGGAGCTTTGTTTAAGAACAAGCAATGTATGGGGGCAGCTGGTGCTAAACTGCAAAGCTGTTTACCCCTCCTGGGCTACGATGGGCGCTGGGTCCCATCCTGCCCTGGGGACTGGAGTATAATCCCTTTGGGCTACCTGAGCACTTCCACTGGTCCCGCTCCCAGCAGTAAGGGGTGGTGCCTTCAAAACATTCAGGGATGGGGGACCCCTGCAAGCAGGTTCCCCTAGCTGGGACCCCACTTGTTACAGGCTCTGTGCTCCTCTGTTGAACCAGGGCAGCAGAGGGACCTGCTTCACCTGGGGAACTGGGTCCCTGCCTAGATGGAGCATAACCATGCCCTGGGGACAAGCAGAGGGCATGCTATGCTGCCAGGGCAGCACCAGTTATTGCTGGGCAGAAGCGCTGCATCCTCTGCTTGTATCCCTGGCCTGGAGGCTACCTTCCATAGCATGTGATGGAGCTTCTGCTAATTTTTCTAATTACTCCTGTGAAGGTTGCTGTGTGCAGGTATCGTGGCTGACGCGCTCCAAAGCTGTCGATCCCTTTGGCTCGGCTGGCCTGCGGTGGGGAGGTGAAGCTGGATGCTTGGGTGGCTGAGATGCCTGCCCAGGTCCGGGAAGAAATAGGTCTGCACTGCAACTGAGAGCTAGGCCTGGCATCTATAAAGACCCTTCACAAGGATTAGTTAGTCCTTTGTGAGGCGACCATGCTGGGAAGGCAGTCCCGCTGGGTGGGGAGAAGCAGATGGCGATGGGGACAGCATGGCTGAGCGGTGGGACAGTCAGTGTGCCTCACCACCCATGGGGTGCACAGCTGAGGACAATGGACACTCGGAGGATGCACAAGGGAACTTAGAAAGAAGGGGTTAATGGGGTGTAAAGGGGAGCTTGGCTTTAAGCCACAGGACAGTCGCACATGCAGGGTGCTGTGATTGTGGGACAACCCTGCACAAAAAGGCTGGACAAAGCTGGTGCTGGGCCCATTCCTAGGGCAGGGCATGGCTGGCCACTCTGCTGTGTAATAGGAAAGGTGGGACAACGCCCTGAGGGAGATGCAATCCCTGGGTAAAGACTGAGCTGTGAGCACAGGCCTCCTGCCTGCAGGTGGAGGATGGCCATGGTGGGGTGGGCCTCCATCCCCATGGCCGATTCCATCCCTACGTGGGGCCATGGCAGGAACGGCCGGGGGGGGGGGCGGCGCAGCGGGGCCCCGGAGGTCCCTGGTGCCGGAGACTCTCTGCAGAGCACGGGGAGTGCAGCCCCCCCATGCCCCACCAGCGTCTCCGGAGCCTGTCTGGGCAGTAGGACAGTGACAGGCGCAGCCAGCTCCGCTACCCTCCAGAGAACATCCAAGACCCGTCATGGCTGCGGAGGGTCCAGGAGGAAGAGCCGGGCTCAGGGGACCACGCACGCTGCCTCCCCTGGCTCCGCTTCTGAGCAGGGCGGCCGGTGCCCCCGGGGTCCCTCTGAAAAAAAACCACCGGGGATGCTGAGAGAAGCCATGGCTGGTTTCTTCCATGCTGCTTTGCTGATTGCTGCAGAACTGGGGGAGTGGGAGGGATATGGCCCTGGGAACTGGGGGAGAGGGATGCACCCCCAGAAAGGGAAGGGGAAGGGGGAGTCCACTGGGCCTCTTCTAAGCAGATCCCCAAAAGGGCCAGTGCCTGCTCTCCTGAAGGCCAGGGCAAGGGAAGAGGCTGAGATGGAGGTCTGGGGGAGACCCTCCTCTCCTCTCTTGGTCCCGCACACCCCTGTGCTGCAGAGGGCTGCGATCCTGTGGGGAGGCTGTCCAGGCTGGGGGAGGCAGCCCTGGCACAGCCGCCTGCTGAAGGGCAGCTGCCTGCGCTGCCCATGGGGCAAGCGGCCCCCGCCGGGATGTACCTTGTATTTCGGGGGTCTCTTCTTCAGGGAAACCGGGAGCCCTCCCCCCAGTGCTCTCGAGCAGAGCTAACCTCCCGCCCTCCCGGCTGCTCGGCACCGGGCCGGGCCGTGCCGGCAGACTCCCGGACAGGCCCGCCTCGGAGCCCCCGACCGCGCTGTGCTTTGGGGCTGGAAGCCTTCCGATCCTCCCCCGCCTCCCGCCCAGGTTCCCCTGCCGGTGGCACGGCAGCTGCTTGGGCCGAGGCGCGGGGGGAGGGGAGCGCCGGCTGGCCCCGCCGGGCGGGCCAAGCGGGTGGGC